CAGGTCAAGGCTGCAGTGGCCGGGAGTGGCCACTGCACTCCAGTCTGGGTGACAGAGTAAGACTCCAACTCAAAAAATAAATAAAATAAAATAAAATGAGAAGGCATACATGTTTGATAATCATAATAGCTGAATTCTCGTAAAGCTTAAGCATTTTGAACACTTGTAAGAGCTTTATATGAAATGGCTTTAAATCATGAGTCATCACTGTACTAAAGATTACAAACTTGAATAGGAAAAAAATTTAGGTCCCTTAAAACAAACTTCTTCGAAGAGCTAATATTCAAAATTCTAGACAACATGACACTTTGAAATGCAGTCCAAAACAGAAAAGATCAGATGTCCCACAGCTAATTAACAACATCAGAAATAGGCTCCCATGATAGTAAAAATAAATATAGTTTCTACTTGTGAAAATCACAGGATGGCGATTGATTAGTAAATGGCACAGATAGAAATATGGTGTCAATATGGTTTTAGCAAACAACTGGAAAAAGCACCACTGTTATGCATATAATTAAGTTTTTCTTGGGATACTCTCAAAGAAGCCCGATATTCATTAGGTAAAGATACATAACAACTGATTATATGTCAAATATTATGCCTACCTAATTTTTTAAAATTTGTTATTTATATTATATAGTTAATACATTTATTAGTCTATTTTAATAAAGAATTATATTTCTGTAAGTTAAAAGCTGATTTAAGTATGGATGCGTGTGCTTAATTTCTTATGCATCTTGACCCGAAGTAAGGTTAATAGGTGCTTTTGGCCACCAGGTGGCAGCTACTAGCTTCACAACCAAAGTTTATGAAAATTGGTTCTAAGACTAAAGAGGTTTTTGTCTTGCAAGGTTAAATAAAGGCAGTAGGATCACCGGGGCCCAGCAGGTCGAGGCTGCAGTGGCCGGGAGCGGCCAATGCACTCCAGTCTGGGCGACAGAGTGAGACTCCAACTCAAAAAAAAAAAAAAGATGTAATAAATGGCATTTAATTATTAATTAAGTTAGCATGATAGGACAATGGATTTTTCAAGGAGAAAATACTAATTTTCCTACAGTACCACAATTTGTCCTTCAAATAATTTTTAGTGTGCAATGGATGCTCCCAACACGGTGATTTTACTTCTCTTATATTACTGTGTTAGCATGTAAGAGCTGCTGATATAGATTAACTTTGGTTACATTCTGAAAAGAGTGTTTCTCCACTTGCTCAGGTATAGTGTGAAAAGAGCAAGAAAGAGATATCTACTTAACAGTTTCAAAGTCTATAGAACTGGCCGCATTTTCACAGTTGAGAGGTTCCTTGTATTTTAAAATTTGAGCTTGACTTGTTTCATGGTTCACGCTTATTGGTGATTTTCCAGCATTCTCAGAAGTAAAAATTATATCAGTCAGAAAAACAAGTACTGAAATTATGTAAAGTTACAAAATCATAACATACACTTCTACTGTTTTTCAAAGTTTGATAAAAAATCCCAAACTAAAAAAACTAACATTCTGATTAAGACAAAAATTATAAAATAGAAAAACAGTCAACTGTCTTATTTTATCAAACTGGTGCTTAGTCCACATACACACCCACCAAGATGTTTTGTTTGAGTCCACACATAAAGAGTCAATTAATATTTAAATGTTCTTCTCTCAGGTAGACATCTACCATTGTTGCTTGATCAAAACACATTCTCCTTTATTCTGATGTGTCAACCTGATCTGTGGCTTTCTCCCTCACTCCTCTTCCTCTTAGGAATAACTCATTTCTCTTCTTTGATGGTGGGCATTTAACTTGGGACTAACCAAAACAACACATTGTATCCCTTTGGCCACTCAGTAATGGTTTATTGATAACGCAGTGATGCACAAATTCATATATTAAATATTTTATTTCTTATAAAGCATAACCATTAAGATGCCATAATGTAGCTAGTTCAACTGCGAGAAAAAGGGGAAATGCTCAACAGCCATGAGCATGTAAAATAAAGGCAAATAAATATTTCAACTAGAAGTCCAAGATAACTAATAAAAAAGTGCACAAATGCAACATGAATAATTGGAATAACAAGAATGAAAATAATGCAGAACATTGTGAATGGGGCCAGTGTTTCCTCTGCTTATTAAAAAATCTGGGCAATGTTTCCTCTACTAATTTACAAATGACTTCAAACTTCAAAGACTTCCATAATTAAAGAGAAACTGGGATTTAATTATTGAGGAGCTGACTGAAACCAACTTTTTGAGGATTATTAGCAAAACATATTCTATTCATTTTAAAACATAAAATACCATGTGTAAAATGTATGGCTAAATTCATGAAAATACTATTATGAGGAAAAAATTTTGAGGGTTGTAGCAAAATTGATAGAGGAAAAATTAAGGGCTTTATATTCATTTTTGTGAATTTCTATTGACTGAAGCAGTATTAATGCTAAAATGTTTTCAAGGCTTTCAATCTGTTGATGTACACTATTCACGCCATGTACAAAGTTATTGGCAGCTTTTCCAAAACATTTTGCAGAAGGGTTAAAGTATAACACTGTAGGAACATATATATTTATATTTTGTCCATCACCTGCCATAGTTGAAGAGTTTATGGAAATTACTGATACCATGGAATTTGGTGCAGACAATTCTTCATTCTCAGAAGTGGGCAGTGAACAGTGATTTATTGATACTTAAAATGTATCACAACATGAATTCAATTTTTAGTAGGACCAATTCTATTACTTTGCAATATAAATTTGAAAATATTGTATATTTGAATTATTTTCCTTCTGGTCTCTTCCCTTATTGTTGGCAAACATTTTCTTCTAAATCTACATTTCTTTTGGTTCCCTTCTTCTGTTTTATAACAGTCATAATTCTTGCCCTTTTTCTAAATTAGGAAACTAAACAATTTTTCTAAATGTTTCTTTGGTTTAAAGAATAAATCATCTAAAAATGCACCTGTATTCTAAATTTTTAGAATAATTTTCATTTTCACTGTACAGTATAATTTTTGAGGCTCATATTGATTCTGATTTTCTGTTGACTAACGTTTATTAAGAAGACAGGATCCAGTTACAGTTTATTCTGGGAGAAACGGAGAGGCCACAGCTGACAGCTATACTCCCCTAGATATCTCAAGTTTATCAGAGAGACAATAACTTAATGTGGTTCTGCTGAATCGAAGCATGCTTTTCTACTTTGCTCAATGCCCAGTTCCCTTGAAAATGCTAAGAATTTATGCTGTAAAAGATATGAGGTGGTCTGTGGCTTTATTCTGCCAAATATAATATATGAAAACTAACCCCACCATGTACTTCTAAGGCTATTTCTGGTCTTTACCTGGCTTACAGGGTTTTACAAAAGACCACAAACTCTAGGATGAAAAATACCATTTCCTCTATTTCTTGTTTACTAAGAACAATTCCTGAATAAAGAAGGAAAAACACTGGCGATTGAATGGGGGCAGAAATACCCGGCTGCCTTAGATACAAGTAATGGCTTTCTGACTTAGTGCATTCTACCAACTTTTCAGCCAACTGAAACATGTTTTTCTCAAAGTGAAAACTATAAGAGTCTTAGACTGATCTTAATCCAGCTCATTTAATGATATTAGAGTAACAGAAATTTTCCCAGAGCCTTCAAATGGTTGTTTGTTAACCTTGTTTCTCACAAGTGTTTAGTGTGTGTATTTTAGTTTTTAATACATTTTTTATGTCTTCATAGCAAATTCTAAATTGGGAAGAAAATATCAAGAAATGTTGATATTTACCACCTCGAGCCAGAAGTTCTCTCTCGACAAACATAACTGAAAAAAATAAACTTCACTTGCTTTTCGTTGGGAGAATCTCATTAAGTCTTAGGACTCAAGAAAAAGAGAATGGAGAACATACGTAGGCTGATGAGGTCAAGCTTGTCTAAAAAATCTCTTTCCCTGGGGGAGCTTAGTTTTCTACCTCGGGAACATTAGAATGCCCAAGGGATCACTAGATAGGCCCACATTTCAGTTATGCCACCTACCCGCGGCTTGCTGCATTTGCAGAGCAGAGAAAGGGTTGGTTTCTAGTCAATCTATGATCTACCTATACTGTTCATGGGGCCCCTAACACACTCTCCTGCTGTTTGCTTTCTCTCCCATATATAGAGGGCTGGGCATAACCTGATCACTAACTACCAGGAAGCTCTTCTCTACTAGAAATCAGAAAGGTGTATTAATGAAAAAATACTTGGCTGGGTGTGGTGGCTCATGCCTATAATCCCAGCACTTTGGAAGGCTGAGGTGAGAGGACTGCCTGAGTTCACGGGTTCGAGACCAGCCTGGGCAACTTGGTGAGACCTCATCTAAACAATAAATCAAAAAAATTAGCTGGGTGTGGTGGCGTGTGCCTGTAGTTCCAGCTACTTGGAAGGCTGAGGCAGAAGGATCACCTGAGCCCAGCAGGTGACTGTGAGCGAGCCACTGCACTCCAGCCTGGGCAAAAGAGTGAGACTCCAACTCAAACAAAACAAAACAAACAAAACAAACAAAAACCTTTCCAGGCCAAATATTACTATCCTGCAATTTTTTGTTTTGGAGATGAAGTCTCACCAAGTTGCCCAGGCTGGTCTCGAACCCCTGAACTCAGACAATCCTCTCACCTTGGTCTCTCACAGTGATGAGACGATAGGCGGGAGCCACCAGGCCCAGCCTATCCTGTAATTTTTAAAGAACAGGATCTGTATTTTAAAAATAAATAAAGTTCACTAAAGTTTAATATCATTTCAATGTGAATTAGTCCTTCAAAAATACAAGACAGTTTAGATAAAGTCCTTCAGTACCTATATTTGTCTAGTGACCTGGGGAAACTTAAAGTTTCAAGAAGAAGGCATAGAATCCCCTGTCTTTTTTTTTCCTTTTTAAATTTTTTTATTTTAAAGATGTGGGGTACAATTCATAGTTAAGTATACAAATGGTCATCATGCAGGGACCCATACTGAGGGACCCATACTGATGAGGTGTGCCCCTCCTGCCCCGGCAGATTCCCACTACTGACATCCTGCCTCCCCCCACCCCTGCAGTTTCCTGTGACAGCCAATCCTTTTCTTATAATACAGAATTCCTTTTCAAATATTTAAACAATAAGAGTTGTCAGTAATTACAGCAGTTGATAAGTACTGTGATCTTATTAGAAGTGGCACATAATTTAAAAAGCCATTTTTCTTGGGAGGCCGAGGTGAGAGGATTGCCTGAGCCTACAGGTTCGAGATCAGCCTGGACAACTTGGCAAGACCTTATCTCTATAATAAACCAAAAAATTAGCCAGGTGTGGTGGCATGTAGTTCCAACTACTTAGAAGATTGAGGTGGAAGGATCACCTGAGCTTAGCAGGTCCGGGCTATGGTGGCTGTGATGAGACTCCAACTCAAAAAAAAAAAAAAAAAGCTATTTTTCTTTTAGGTTTTATTTGTTATCCATAGGCTAAATTTCCCAGAGTGATTCCTAATTATCTATTTGTTGCAGCAAGTGCCAGTCTCCTTAAAAAAGAGAATAAGAAGGAAAGAGAACTTGATGACAACATTGTAGTCTGAAATGCATTTTATACATTTTGAAACCCTGAAGGGGTGATACTACAATGGGAGAAAGCTCCATTGCCACCAAAATAGATATTGGGAAGGAAAGACACTTAGATTAAAATATCAACTGTAATGCCTAATTAGTAAAATTAGTAAGTCGACTTTGCATTTATTTCCCAAAGCTCTAGCCATACCCACCTTTGCTCATCATCTGGTCTCTTGATCAGATTGAAAAGTATGTGGAGAAGCTGATCTCTCTCTTTAGGCTCGGGATGTAGGCATGCTGTACACAATATGAGGGGGATCAACTCCTAAAGAAAGATGAGGGTGGACAAGTTCAAAATAAAAACACATTGCGGAATATTCTTTTATCCCCAGAATATTCTTAAATGGACATTCAAAGTGAACTACATCTCAACATAAAAAAAGCGCAAATATCAATTCTGTAAGGTTGATAATTCATGGAAATATTAAAACATTTACGTGTTGGTTGTGCAGAAGGTATAAATCACAATGTAACAAAAGTTGCTTAAGATTCAACTAACCTTGTTTTGTTATCCAGTACTTCCCAAGGGTCCACTAGTTTTTACACTAAATAACATTCCATCATGTGACAAGCTGATATCATAATTTTAATTCTGAAAGCATTTGTAAACAAAAGTTGCAGAAGTTCACTATATTTTCAAATTTAAAAAGATAACAGAAAATAAAGGCAACTCTTACTACTTCCACAAGAACAGTATAATGTCTTCTGTAGTTAGGTGTTTCTAATAGTTTTGAACCCTAGCACCTAACCCTATGGCTAATTAAAAGACCACCTCCACAGGTGGTTTAATCCTATCAGCGTGACTACAGAGTGTTGGCAGAGATATTTTATGTTGAAGTAGAATAGAAACTTTTAATAATATTTTTTTAATTGCACATTCAATATGCAAAAGTAGAGTCAACATTTTACAGGAAATTATTAACCAAAAGATTCTTAAGAAGTATTTGAAATTAATTAAAGGTGCCTCGCACTTTATTAAAATTAAGATGAAATTCTTAACACTAAAATATATTCAAATTATATTAATGTTTTTCACTTTGAGATGGCTTTTCGAATCTACAGAGAATTAAAATACAAGGGTAATAAAATACTTTTTGAGGGAAATCCTTTGACTTATAAAAACAGTATTGTGCAGATATATTAAATAGGCTAGGTGCAGTGGTTCATGCCTGTAAGCAGCTCGGGAAGCCAGGGTGGGTGGATCACTTGAGTCAGTATTTGAAACCAGCCTATGTAACATAGTAAGATCTTGTCTCTACAAAAATCTTAAAAATTAGCTGGGTGTGGTGGTGCATGCCCGTGATCCCAGCTACTCAGGAGGCTGAGGTGGGAGAATAACTGAACCCAGGAGGTTGAGACTGCAGTAAGCTATGGTTGTGCCACTGCATTCCAGGCTGGGCAACAGAGCAAGACCCTGTCTCTGTCGAGGGAGGGAGGGAGGG